CTGTTTTTTTTTTCGAAACAATAAAAATTTTTTTTGGGGTGGACACCCCTTATCACTTAGGGGTTTGAAATATAGATAGTAGCCGATTCTCAGACTTACTGAAAATGCATTAAAAAATTCATAAGAATCGGTCGAGCCGCTTCGGAGGAGTATGGGAACGAACATTGTGACCCGAGAATTTTATATATATTAGATATTCTATTCCTGCCCATCCAAAACAATTATTTTTAACAAGGAATGTCAGGAATTATACACACTATACGTTTTCTATGTTGCGAATAATAACTTGTATAGGATTAAATATTTTGTATCGATGTTTGCTATTCACGGGTCAGAAGGAAATGCTAGCTCCTTTAGAACGCTTTTCATTAACAAACTTACTATAAACAAAACTAACACAAATTACCTTATGGGTCTATTAAAATTCTTATCAGAGATATTTTCTAAATTAACGTTTCTGGCTGGGTCTAATTGAAAGCAATTTAAATCTCATTATGCGTCGAACAGTTATTTAGAAAATTCAAACATACTTTCTACAAACATGAGTACGGTTAGGTAATAAATTCCATGATTAATTATGGTATAATAAGATTTATAACATCAGCATAGCAAAGCCATGAAGTCCTGGTGGTTGAACAAAGCAAGTGTTTAAGAAAGAGCGAGATTTTACTTATTCAAAATAAAAGAAGGGTTAAAGAAATATTTAAAATGACCAAAAGTTATCTTTTGTACTTATATTCTTATTGGTCCAAGATAAGTGTATTTTACTTTATAAATGGAACAGGCATAGAATGTCTCAATGTGCTAATCACGACTTCACATTCATAAAAGCTGTTGTTTTAGTTTTTATGGCTCTGGCACGGTTTGTGCATTAGCCAGCGTCAAGTGTAAGATTTTTTTTTATAATTCGTGCTTGCCTTAGAACTTCGACCGTGTCCTCCATGTACGGTTTAGGTGCCGCACAACCCTCCCAAAGGCCGAGAACAAATTTAAATTAAATTAAAACCTGCCCTCGAACCGGGAATCTAACCCGGTACCCCTCACCTAGCTGCCACTTAATAAGACCGCTAGGCTATGAGGCCCCTGCATCATATTTAAAATCAACACAAATTTATTCATATAAGTGACAGTGTACTTATTTAAAACCATATATAATCCACCACTCTTTTCTATACGTGATTGTCCAAAACCATTATTATAGCTTTGTCATCGTTGAATTAGCTTTCTAATTAATTAACAAAGTTTCTAATCGTGATTCAAATTTTAGGCCTAACATTACTTGGCTGCCAATTATAATTTAACTCTGTACTAACTACACATGTATTCATTATGTATTTCAAAGGGGTACGGTACGTCCTTCGCATAATATTCAGTAACAACGTTCCATTGGGACGTATTCCCACTACTAAGCCACGGCGAAAAATGCCTATTTTAAGGTAATATTTTATGAAATGTCAAAGCGAATAGCTTAAATATCTGGCGTTGTAACCTTCATTACAAGGAAGTGGACTTCTGGTTATTTTCTGAATGGTAATATAATAAGCGGACAATTATCGAACGTAATTAGATTGTTATTGCATGTTTTTTATCTCGTCTCAGTACTAACAGAAACGTTATTTCAATATCATAAATCTTTGATAGAAGTTTGGTTTGGTTTCATACCTATTACTAGTAAGCATAGATTAGGCAATTCAACTAGATATTTAATTTGACGTTTGTCGTGATTTTCAGCAGTCTGCGTCAACGAATCTCTGGCGATGAATCCCATATTATATTAAAACAATAGATAGTTTTTAATATAGAAATAAATATATTCGACATCCTTTCACTATTACCACACACACTATTATATTTTTGCTGACGATGTGGTTTATGACATTTTCTTTTGAATAATTGTAATGTAGAGGAAGGGTAAACTGGCTGGGTTTCTTGTCCGTTCTTCTCAGAACAAGGCCTCCTGGTAGTTTTGCGAACGGATGGCGTAGTCTGGCTCTTTCGCGAATTTTGTAAACGTTTTTGACATTCATAAGCATGCCCTAAGACTCATCTAAACTGAATAAACGTATTTTGATTGATTGATTTAGAATGTTATTGATTTTACTAATTATTATAAATATTTAAGTAGATGGAATTGGTCCTGATTATCGCTTAAAGCTTCAATAATCATAAAAATAATCTATACTTTTTCCTTTTTGAGCAAAATCATAGAGTTTTCCTTAGTATATTTTCTTAATTAAACCGGAGATTACATATTTAAATTTTATATTTAGTGAAAGTTCGTAACAGTTATGACATCCGGCCGCCATTGATTACATAACAATTAATGTGTTGCAGAGATCGAGAGAGTAAACTCTATGGGTAAATTTAAACAAAATATATGAAATGTGGAATTCAAGTATGTAGTTAATAAACCTTATATATGTACATTGTACAATGTACATACAACAAAAGGAAAATATCAGGAATGATAATATTATAACGTTACTATAGATGTGTCCCACACACGTGACAATTATGATACGTAATATAAGCTGATAACTTATTTATAAAAAATTGAAGATATTATGTATATATGTAGGTTTTATAATATACTAGCAGATCCGACAGACGTTGACCTGCATGATATTTCAAGCGATTAGGATATTACACAAAGTATGAATCTACCGACTGCAGCGCAGCATGTAAGCTATTCTATCTTTTAAGTTAGATCAAACTGCACACGGTGTGCTAATTTGATTGAAATCGGTTAAGTAGTTTAGGAGTCCATAGCGGACAAACAATGTGACGCGTAATTTATATATATTAAGATGTTTCATTTTATATAGCTAACAGGGAACGCGAATAGGATAGGAAATGTTAGCAGAGACACTGGTGGTTTCGGGCTATCATTTTGTTATAAAGAACGAAAGAGAATCATGAAACTTGTTCCAACATGCTTAAAATTATTATTACTATGTCTTGAGCTAATGCCTACTGTAAATAATGTTCAAATGTTACGAATGATATTCTTATGCAATTGGAATAGGCTTGCAAAATTCTTGTTTTTTTTTGAGCAAAAACTTCACTTGTCAACATGTCACCGTAAGTAAAAAAAATCGCGTTTTTTTCTTCAAGTATATCTAACGTTTTCGAAATGATGAATGAACTATATGATATTCGACATGGTTCTGTTTAAATATTATCTTTTATAAAAGGGGTTAAGATGGCTACTGAAGATTGTTATTCTCAACTCACGGCTGATTTGTCAATAAAATTGAATGGCAAACATGAGTGCAACTTAACGCGAAATTAGAAAGTTACCAGATTTCCCCAAAATCTCTATTGCATCTAATTTAATACTTATAACAAACCCACATCATCAATAACAGTAATAATTACCTGCAAGCAATTACCGTCTTTATATCCAATGTTTAAAGCCAGAAATCACTCAACATAGCCCCGATATTCACTAAATCACTTGCACTTAAGGATATAGAAACGAATTTTAAAATCATACACTTTCACTATACTCGGTTCTGTATCGATTTTTTAAAGAAATCGTTAAAACCGCGCTCGTTAATCGAGCGTCAGCGTCACACTGGCTGCGCGAGAGCCTTCCCCCCGCACAGTGGCGCGACCAACTCGTTTTACTTCTTACATACAGGTTATTTTCGACCTTACTGCATTTAATTAAGATTTAATTTGATTTGTAAATAATTGTGATCTATTCGAAGGTTCCATCGATTGATTACACAGTGATTCGATTTTTATATCCGTGCATAATTGACACGTTCACGATGACGTCTTTGTTGCGTGTTATTAACTACTTCTAGTTTGAATGGGATATTTTCTTTGTTGACTTTAACAAAAAGTTTATCTCTTTAATATACAATCAATCGCTTTAACCAGTTACGTGATACATACGCGTTATACAAAACTTTATTTTCACCTCTCTTTCTTCCTTACTTATAAGGCATTTTAGGTTTATTCCCACAAAATTTTCACACGCGACATATCCTCCACCATGCAGAAACTGGCCAACTTTTCTTCAATATATAACGAATCATATGTCTAGAGCTTATTTCACCTGGTAAAGTAAAAAAAAGTAAAAAATCATTTAATCACATAGGTAACATAATGTACACTTATGACTCGTCAGTAAAGAAATACATATTAATGCTTCTAATTTTACATTTACTGCCAGTTCTCAAATCAAGGGCGTAGAACGGTAGAGAAGAACTGACTCTCCGCCACTCTTTTTAATCGTTTTTTTTCGCCACTCATTTTTTTACACAACGTTTGTAAGGAGCTGCAGCCATTACACCATGTTCCACATGACATATCAAGTAATTAATAATAATAACATAAATTAATCAAAAAAGCTAACACTAAAAGTATACATTTAAAACTGTAAACATTAAAGGCACTTTTTCACATAGTCTTGTGACTTCAAAAAATCTAAAGGATATACACATAGTATATTCAATGCACCTGCCTCCGTAAATCAAATTAAATAATTGATATGTTCAGTGATAGAACTACGAATTTGTCAGAAAAAATATTGCAGTGTCTTATAGGCATGAAGTCTCAAGAAAACTTTAAAGTTACATCCATTCAGTGTGAATTTTGTAAATTAGACATAGACATAACATATATTACTAACAAAACACACAAAATAGCAATAATACAAAAATTAGCGAAACGGCGTTTGGGGCCGCTTTCACATGTTTTTAATTAAATTGGAACTTGATGACATGGCATCTGGATCCATCGTAACAGGCCGTGAAATCAAGACTGATACAATACAACTTTTAATAGGTGCATTGTAAAATAAACGTCAGTAAAAATACACAATTACTGAATACGACAGTCCAAAGTGATGATGAAACATCGACTCTCCCACAGCCTGCAAAACAAACGAAACTGGACTAGAAGATCTCCAATTGGGAAGACATCGGAAGCCTCGGCGGCACATATTTTAACGGAGGGCAGAAAAACAAGTATAGGAGAGGAATGGAAAGATGGAACGGAAATTAAGAACAAGAAGATGTTTGCGCTACAAAGTTTTCAAGCCGAGGCGAAGCACGACTAAAAACGTAAATAAAAATAAGCGCGACGCTAAGATCTTTAAAGACTCTACGTCGGCGATAGATGCAATTATTGTGAGTAGACGACCTCTCGATCCCCAAGTAGCAGAGGTCCGCCGGAGCCTAGAAGAGTTCTGCAAAAGTGGAACTCATACCCTATTCTGGGTAAAGGCGCACGTATGCACGCCGGAGAACGAGAGGGTGAACATATTAGCTAAAGAAGTGGCGGAAAAATTTAGAACAGAACCTGAATACGTCCATATGTATATGTCGCAGCCAACTAACTTAATTAGCCGTTCAATCAACAATCTAGTATATTTACTATACTGCGCCTTCAACTAGGGGCTGAATGATATTCAGCCATTTGATCAAATAGCTAGGCAAATGACTTGAATCGATGACGTTACATTACTTGCCTATCGTGTTAATTTTAATTTAGTTCCACTTTCTGCCACCCACTCCAAACTGTCAATAAACCGATGGCAAACAAAACATTTGATGATGTTTTCCAAAGATTAATGAAACATTGTATGAAAGAGTGTATTGAGACTACTAGTTAGTTATATTTTAAATATGTACCTATACCTATATTAAATAAATAATTTCTTATGTCAGATATTTCAGCTTTCTGTCAAATCGTACGAATGGCCTAAGCATTAGCCTAATGTTATACCAAATGTTAAGGCTGGATATAATTCAGGCCGCTAGTTAAACGGCGCTGTTTAGTAAAGAGGCTAGGCTGTTGATTGAACGGCTAATTAAGCTAGTTGGTTGCAACATATATATAAAAGACCAGATAAGACAAAATACGTATGAAGTATGGAATGAGCGCTATCCGGGCGAACAAAAACGTTCGTCGGAGATGACAAATATAAGAAAAGGGAAGCGTTTCACACCTCAGATGGCGCAAATTCTTACAGGGCTCGGACATTACAAGCAAAGCTTTAAAAAAATTTCAACATGTACCTGCAATAATGACGAACAAACGGTGGAACATGTGCTCATTGTCAAAAAGTCAAAATCATTTATTGATATAGGTAACACAATGTACACTTATGAACATCAAAATATGTATATATTAGGTCCTTACATATGAAATTGGCGTTTTGTATGGGAGGAACAAAAAGTCGAATATTTTTAATTATAATATATTTAATTAATCAAAGTATGAACCATTGTTTTCTATGCACTTTTGCCATCTCATAGGTAGTTCATTGATGGCTTTACTAAAAAAACCAGTCGGACGGGAATCAATAAAATCTGTGAAGGCGATTTGGACTGCCCCATCAGAGTTAAATTTTTTCCCTTGCAAGAAGTTGTCCAAATTTCGAAAAAAATGGTAATCTGTTGGAGCAAGGTCCGGGGAGTACGGAGGATGTCTTAGACATTCCAATTGAAGCTCTTTTAATTTGGTAACCGTCTGTTGTGCAGTGTGTGGTCTAGCGTTGTCGTGAAGTAGCAGTGGCGTGGAGCGATTGACCAGCCTAGGTTGTTTAGCCACTAGCTTTTCCATAATGGTTTGCAATTGCTGACAATAGACATCAGCCGTAATAGTCTGGCCAGATTTGAGAAAACTGCAATGAACAATACCGGCACTAGTCCACCAAACGCTTACAAGTAACTTTTTTGGGGTTAATTTTCGCTTGGGGCAGGATTTGGCTGGCTGGCCAGGATCCATTGCGCTGAGCGCTTCTGATTATCGTAAAGAATCCATTTTTCATCACAGGTAATGATTCTGTTTAAAATACCTTCATTATTGTGCCGATTTAGTAATGTAACGCAGCAGTCGACGCGCGTTTGCCGGTTTGCTTCAGTCAATTCGTGAGGTACCCATCTTTCAAGCTTTTTAATCTTCCCAATTTGCTTCAAGTGAATTAAAACAGTTTTATCACTAACACCGCAGCCTGCAGCTAACTCGGACGTGGTTTGCGATGGATCCGCTTCCACAATAGCCTTCAATACTTCATTATCAACTTGGGTCTCAGGCCGTCCACGGGGCTTGTTCTGCAGGTCGAAATTTCCAGAACGAAAACGTTGGAACCAAAAACGAACTGTGTTTTCTTTTGCAACATGACCGCCATACACAACATTCTCCCTTCGAGTCGTTTCCGCAGCACTAGTGCCACGGCGAAACTCGTACTCGTAAATAATGCGATACTTTAAGTTTTCCATTTTGTAAAATGAGTGACGCAAACAGAAAAAAACAGAAGAAAAAAACAAATGAATGACGGTCACAAATACATGAGTAAATAGCTGTACAAATTTGAATTTGGAATTCCTTACCAAAGAGGAGAACATCGTCATTAAAGTGGCCAGTACGAAATACGCCAATTACATATGTAAGGACCTAATATATATATATATATATGAAATGCTTCTAATTTTACATTTACTGCCAGTTCTCAAATCAAGGGCGTAGAACGGAAGAACTGATAAACTCTCCGCCACTCTTTTTAATCGCCAACTTTTTTGTTTTACACAACGTTTGTAAGGAGTTGCAACCATTACACCATGTTCCACATGACATCTTAAGTAATAAATAATTACAAAATAAATTGAAAACAAAGATTTGTCCTGTATAAGCAGTAGGCATGGTGAAATAGGAGCACGCACTTACATTCTCGTGGGCACGACCTGGAGCAATAAACACAGATAAACCGAAACTTCCTACATGACATGTTATAAAAGCACAGACCGTGCCTTAAACGGTTCTGAGACAAAATTATTACATATTATGTAAAAGAATAAAAGAACGAGTTTCGCAAGCAATTGCGCCCTGGCTCGCCCATGAATATTGTAAATTGTAATATTTCAGCCAGCCATTTCTCGCAAGACGCACTACACAAATATGAGTTTATGATTTTATCTACAACTATCTTTTTAGTGAGCAGTGTTGGCCTAGTGGCTTCAGCGTGTGACTCTCATCCCTGAGGTCCCTGAGGTCGTAGGTGCGATCTCCTGTGCACCAAAGGAATTTCTTTCTATGTGCGCATTTAACATTCGCTTGAACGGTGTAGGAAGACATCGTGAGGAAACCAACCTTGCCTTAGACCCAAAAAGACGATGGCGTGTGTCAGGCATAGAAGATTCATCACCTACTTGCCTATAAGATTGACAAACGATCATGAAACAGATACAGAAATCTGAGGCCCAGACCTAAAAAGGTTGTAGCACCAATGATTTTTTTTAATTTTATCTTTTTAGTACAAAAACGTTTTAGTACGAAGATATTAGACATGGAAAGAAATTCCTGGACACTATCCTATCAGTAGAAACATCCTATCAGTAAAAGCTAAGTAGTTAAGAGCTCTGAACAAACTCTAACGTTAAATAACCCATTTCACCGTTTTCTCGATAAAAACTTATTTCAATTGCACTTTAGTAAGAGAAGTTAAAAATGCAGCTGACTTTTCATCAAGATATATTTAAAACTAACTTACATCCTTATTAATATACCGTTAATATTTGATGATCACTTAAGAAAATTTTCAAATGTCTGTTATAAAAATTTTATCGTACTAAGTGTAGAGTGCACTCTGGAAACGATTACTTTGATACTAGTGTAGTGGAAAGTTAGCTCCTACAAGAATTATACAGCAAAGTTAGTGGTTTTGTAAAACATTGAAATTTTAATAACGTTACGAATAATAAAATTTACCAGGATCAAACATATTAGGTTTATTTACTAGTTATTGTACGTATTAGGTATAATCTGATGTCGTAACTTATGTAATAAGAATGTTTATAAATTACCTTGAATAAACTTGGCGGCATTTTCGTCTGGGGTGGTGGTGATTTGATCGAAATTGCTTTTTGCTCGTGTCAGTTTGCGAACGAATCTGTTTTAACGCACAACTAATGCGTCTAGACAAATCTGACATGGAATATTCAATCTCTTTTTCATAAATGTTAAATATTTTAAAGCAAAATTTTCCGTACGTTTTAACTCTTAGTAAGCCAATTAATTATTTTTTAAAGCTTCGCAACATTCACTATGCTTTATACCTCTCCTCCTACCTTTGCTACCTACGATCTAGGCTCGTACCTATGAATCATGAATATATTAACACTATTTTTGTAGTATAAGTTTAACTACATTTCACTAAGGAAATTCACGAGCCCGAATTGCTACTAGTGATATATCTACTTCTACGAAATAGACATAACATTTATTACTAACGAAATACACACACAGAAACACACAAAATAATAATAATAATAATCAAAATAAGAAAGAAAAATCAGGGGTTTTTTTAAGATAAGGTATATTTTAAGTGTGTAATATGTTGTGTTTGAAACTGGCCCTGGCTCAGCATTATGCTGAGGAGGAGACGTGTTCTAAAGGGCTGGTTATTCACACACTGGCCTCAACAGATAGTTGTTGTCTTTGGCATTAAGCACAAATACGAGGGCGGCTTCACGTAAAAAATATAAAAACAATAAATCTAAAAATATTTACATTTATTATTTATATGACGTAATTTTTTTGTATCTTGACAAGAGACCGAATAATTGTAAATAATATGTCGGATATATCTAGGATTTTTATTTTATAATCACAAAACTACGTACCCCCCGACTACCTTCTCTACATGCTCCATCGAGCGTCATGACTCTGAGAGTAGCAGTGTAGCAATGCGCACACTATACATGTTTCAACTGTTAAGACAAAAATGTTTAAAAAAGACATCACCCGTGTAAGAGATAAAACACCCCAGCTAAAAGCCGATGTTCTGAAATCCCAGAACAATTTTTCCAAATTGTAGGCATCATGCAATTCCAATGCAAAAATTTGAAGTATTTTGTGTCATGGGTTTATAAAAGGGTGTACAACAAGAATGTTTTTGAGGGAATTTACGTGATAGACATCGCAGATATAACCTTATATTCGTATGATACACTTTCAAACAATCGAAGATATGATACATCGCAAATGACGGATTAAAAATGATTGCAGACATTAAAAGAAAATGTAGTCCATAAGCAACTAACTATAAATGGATTGCGATTCTTTATCATATAAAAAAGCATAAGAGCGGAAAATTGTGGCGACGTCATTACAGGTAACAAAGAAAAATTAATGACGTTGGACGATAATGAAAATCTAAAAGATGGAATAGCACGCACCCTTTTAAAAATAGGAAATTAACTTTTACTGAAAGACTTAACGATAATATTTTAGATTGCATTAACACTACGACAATTGTATATTTGTATTATGATAGAACCATCTAGCACTTGAGATTGCCTTGCTCTTGCTATTAAATTTTTAAGCATTGATTGATTAATTTGACATAATTTGTGTTAGTTCAAAAATATATATATATAATTAATTTTTTTCA